ATCAGAATTTCCACCGTGGGAAGTCATTTGATCACTTCTTGTTTGTTTGTTACCCTCCTTAATTTGCTAGATTATTCTGACATTATGGTTCAGTATTACTAGAATAGAAGAACTTTGCGCTTTGTTTTATACTACAAGCCTAATACTCTGTCTGATTCCCCATTTGTCATTTTTACTGTACATAAACAACAATGACATGTATATTTAGAAGGAAGGTGAAATAATCATAAGAGACACCAAATAATCAGTGATTTGATTTTTTTTGTTCATGATGCAAACATTGTCCTCTTGTGCAGTAAATGCTCTAGGTCCATCTACATTTTGGTGTCTGCCTCATTCTAACAAATGTGTTAACTTATTCACCAATTTCAGTGGAAAGAACTCTTGTGAACCCATGTTGATTTGAGCTTTTGATTTTCTCAGGTTTTAGGTGGATTTGATGTGTCAAACTATGTAACAGAGAGAAAATGGGCTGCTGCTTCTGATGGAACTCAGATCCCCATGTCCGTTCTTTACAGAAAAGATATGGTGAAACTTGATGGCTCAGACCCCATGCTGCTATATGGATATGGCTCGTATGAGGTATGGACTCTATCATGTTATTATCTTCTGTAATAGCAAGTTTCTACAATCTTGTAGAGTGTCATTATATATCATGCAAACATATTTGGTTCTGTCTTGAAAATTGAAATGCAAATTTGCGTATTGAAAAATAGGGTGACATGTCCTTGAAAAGAGTGCCTAAACAGGGACAAAATTTGCCTCTCTGATAGTGCTGGTTTCGGCCATTGTATGGTTGGTAAAGTCTGCTGAACAACTGTAAAAACATGTTTCCTTTTAACTCATGTAAAAATTGCCATATAACTGAGACTATTTTTATGTGTTGTGCTGCTGCTAACCATGCTCACTGCTTTACACATTCCTTGTGGCAACAGATATGCATAGATCCGACTTTCAGGGGATCTAGGTTCTCTCTGGTGGACAGGGGTTTCATATATGTGATAGCTCATATCCGTGGAGGTGGTGAAATGGGCCGGAATTGGTATGAAGATGGGAAGCTGCTGAAGAAGAAAAACACTTTCACTGATTTCATTGCCTGTGCTGAGCACTTGATAGAAAACAAGTACTGTACGAAAGAAAAGCTTTGCATCAACGGAAGAAGTGCAGGTGGCCTGTTGATGGGGGCTGTCCTAAATATGAGGCCCGACTTATTCAAAGCAGCTGTTGCTGGGGTGCCTTTCGTCGATGTTCTCACAACTATGCTTGACCCAACTATCCCGTTGACTACAGCTGAATGGGAGGTATTAATCCCCTACGTTGCATTTAATTTAATTTTTATGATTCACTGTCATATTGCCACTTTGTACACTTGCTTCAGTTAGACATAGGTTAGCTTGGCCTTTGATCCAAACCAGGCTTGCTTGGCGGGCATGTCTAAGACTACGAAATGATTGTCGTACTATAATATACACATGTCATCAAATTCCTTTTTACATAATTTGAATGTATCTAGTTTTTATGCCATTTATATCCTTATGGTAAAAAATAAAAAATAAATAGGAAGCAAATAATCTGCCCTGTATGTAATCTGTGCATGCCCATTGGCCATGCACATGCTTTAGTCTTGTTATGTACTCCCTCTGTAACTTAATATAAGATGTTTTTTGACACAACGACAATGCCAAAAAATGTCTTATATTAAGTTATGGAGGGAGTATTTATTCTGGGTATCAACTTTCGTTGCATTGCGCACCTGCAGTTTTGGTTCTGCTCTCACCAACACATCCTTTTTGCCCTTGGTTCAGGAGTGGGGTGATCCAAGGAAAGAAGAATACTACTATTACATGAAATCCTATTCTCCTGTTGATAACGTAAGCGCTCATCTTTATTTTGTGATATATGTGTTTTCTTGCCCCGCATGCTATCGAGGCTTGCTGCAGAAATGTATTTACCTGAGATGTCTGTCCATCTGCTGCAGGTAAAAGCACAAGACTATCCCCACATTCTCGTCACTGCTGGCTTAAATGGTATATATGGCCCTTGGATTCTGAGTTTCTGTTGGCTACCGTTAGCTGTTAACACCAGATTATACTCACAGCTAACTACTCGGTGACAAACAGATCCTCGCGTGATGTACTCGGAGCCTGCTAAGTTCGTGGCGAAGCTGAGGGAGCTGAAGACAGACGACAACCTCCTGCTGTTCAAGTGCGAGCTTGGCGCCGGGCACTTCTCCAAGTCGGGGAGGTAAATAAAAAGCAAAGGAGACATTACTCCTTTGCGTTTGATTTCTTCTTTTTTGACGTGGCATGCTGTTATTAGTTCCAAAAAGGAACAAACAAAATTTTGCTTTTCCGGCCTAACTGTCGTTGTTTTAACTTGCAGGTTTGAGAAGTTGCGAGAAGATGCCTTCACCTACGCATTCATCCTCAAGGCGCTGGGCATGATGACTCCAACAACAGCTTCTTCGCTGTGACGTGCGCACATATCCATCGTCGCCGTCAGTAACTGCATGGATTTCATTTTTTAGACACTTCTTCTGATTTGCCCAAAATGGTGGGTAAGAAAGGAAGCCATATGAATTAGTTGTGGCCTGTGATGTGAGGGAGTGGACTAGCAACTGAACCTTTGACACTGTTGTTTAGCAAGAATGGGAGGAGCGATCCTTTGTTTCGGTATCGTGGTTTGGTCTGATGATAAGGAAGTGCGATCCCTTTTTAACTTGTGCGTTTGACGTGTGGGGGAGCACAAGATTGGAAGTGCAGTCCTTGTGTTTGCTATCATGGTTTGGTTTGATGATGATATAGAAACAGAACTCGTGATTCATTAATCCAGCAGCCAGTCCTTCTGCCTAAGCGCTTAATTAATTGCCTTTTATTTAAACTCTCTTTCTGCCTAATTGATGGGCTTGATTTGCCCTACCTGATAGTAGAAAATTCATCATGCCATGAGTTGCAGTCTCGAACTGAAGGCACACCAATTAAATTCATATTCAGTAAACTGCACTTGGTATCTGTACATACACATTGTCAGACACAAGTGTTGTGCTTTGGGACATCCTAATTCCCGAGGCAAGTTCTCCTCAAAGCCACAAAATGTTGCACCTATGAGTTCCAGGAATGAATGTCTTTCACTAGATAAAGGCCGGTGGAAAACACATCATTGCAACAATTAGCTCTGTATATTCTTGGTACCTTTACAACCATAGAATTGTCAGACAAAACTGTTATACTTTGGACAAATTCGTCCCAAAGCCAGAGCATGGTGGGTATAATCACCTGTTTATCTGGCAAGCTACGAGCTCCCAGGAATAGATGCAAAAGTTGAAGTGAGCAACGGACACCCAGAACAGCCAACAATTAAGGTGGACTAGGTGCACATAAGGAGGCTTCCACATGATGCAGGATGACAATTGTAATACCTTTCATCAGTGAGCCTGGTCACATCCATTCAACAAAAAATAAAACTTTGAACGACTTAAGGGGCATCTATATATCTGCTAGTCGAGCTCTTCGCCTCTTGTTACTCCAGACGAGGAAAAGTCGGAAAGGTAGACTCCAACATGTAGAGCAAAATTTACAGGAGGCAGCAGCACCAAGGCGCCGTATCATCTTGCTCAACGGCGTCCGGTGGTGCTTGCACTACATCGCTAACTCTAGGAAAATCGTCGCAGTCGATTTATGATCGCCGCTATCTCCTCCCGCTCGTTTTTCTTCTTTTCTTGTTCTTTTGGACAGCCTCTCCATGACGCCTGCATCATACACAAACACACCATAACTGCATCGTAAGGAACCTCGAAAAGAGAAGCAAAGTTCCAAAAACATAGAGCAAGTTCCAGCAGAAGATGTAACCGTGTATAATCAATCTGTATGAGCTAAATTTAACTAAACTTCTTCAGCCAAACGGATCAGATACTCAAATGACTTACCCATCATGCATATGCTTTCGTTTCCTCTTGACACTGCTTGGCTTTATTGGCTGATCTTTGCTGCGCCGCCTGAACACCTCGGAATCACTGCTACTACTACCGACACTAACATCTATAACAGGATCCCTTGATAGCTCTGTTGGAAAAGGCAGTGCCTAGGAGGCGCTTAGGCATGCCTAGGCGCTAGCAATGGCCAAACGCCTCGCCTAGGGCATAAGCAGAAGTCTAGGCAGAGCAAGTAAAAATTGTCTACCTAAGCAAGAAATCATTGCCATATTGCACTGATATGCCAAAAGAGCCATATTCCAATCGTAGTAGCTGCTCGTTAAGATACTTATATGCCCTAAATTAATAAAATAAACATATAATAACCACGTATATACCATAATAGTAAAAAATTATATAACCGCCTAAGCTGCGCCTAGGCACTAGGCGAAGGCTAACCACCTCGTTTACGCCTACCGCTTTTTCCAACCTTGCTTGATAGTGCAAGTCTATCAAGACTGGTTGCATCGAGTGAGGTTTCTTCTCTTAGCCGTTGTTTGAAATCTTCCAGCAAAACAACGCCTGGAAAGCAAAGCACAAGCACAAGCATGAGCATGTCGTTGGTTGGCAAGTGAAGGAAGACATTGAGCAAACAGCTAATGTTCAGAAAGGGTGAGAGCCGCTACATCTTTCATGATTTCATCATACACTCGAAGATGAAGTAAGAACTAAAATCGTATTTTTTATGAGCAGCCAGCCTAAAGACCGAGTAGTTGTCAATTTGGTCATGAGGCAGGAGGACACCTGGGTGCACAAGCATTTGATTAAGCTGCATTTGTCTGAAGACCATTATATACTGCAACTCTGAATCAGGAAAACTGTCCTACGCAATGAATTCACAGCTGTGCTCAAAATCTGTCCCTTTGGCACACACATTCAGAGTATTGTGAATAACAGAAATCAGGAAGACATAGCAACGAACTAACTAAATTTGCGCGTTCTACCAGCTCACCATTAGCACAGATTTTTCTCTAATTCTTCTTCTTGTTGTTGTTGCAGGGAGGGGAGGGGACGAGAGGGAGGTGCGGCGGAGCAATAGAAGCAGGCAATACCGAGGGCACACAGGGTGCGCAGATCGAACGCGTCAGCGAGGTGGGGGCGGCCTGCCGTCTCCGCCAGCTTCACTGCCAGCAACTTGAGGCTGATGAGCAAATCCTGCACCACCACTGCCGCCGCGGCACCATTAAAACCTGACGTACTAAGGGCGAGAGATTAAGATCGAGGAGAAGGGCGGTGTCGGTGTCAAAACTGGCGGATCTCGGGTAGGGGGTCCCGAACTATGCGTCTAAGGCGGATGGTAACAGGAGGCAGGGGACACAATGTTTTACCCAGATTCGGGCCCTCTTGATAGAGGTAAAACCCTACGTCCTGCTTGATTAATATTGATGATATGGGTAGTACAAGAGTAGATCTACCATGAGAACGGAGAGGCTAAACCCTAGAAGCTAGCCTATGGTATGATTGTATGTTGTCCTACGGACTAAAACCCTCTGGTTTATATAGACACCGGAGAGGTTAGGGTTACACAAGGTCGGTTACAAAGGAGAAGATACACATATCCGTATTGCCTAACTTGCCTTCCACGCCAAGTAGAGTCCCATCCGGACACGAGACGAAGTCTTCAATCCTCTATCTTCATAGTGTAACAGTCCGGCCAATGGAGATAGTCCGGCTGTCCGGAGACCCCCTAATCCAGGACTCCCACAGTAGCCCCTGAACCAGGCTTTCAATGACTATGAGTCCGGCGCGCAGTATTGTCTTCGGCATTGCAAGCCGGGTTCCTCCTCCGAATATACCACGGAAGAATTTGAATATAAGGATAGTGTCCGACCCTGCAAAATAAATTCCACATACCACCGTAGAGAGAATAATATTTCCACAAATCCAATTTGCTGACTTGTTTTGGCAACACGACATCATGTCACGGCCCGGTGATTATCCGAACCATTTCTTTTAACTAGCCCCGCATATAATGCAAGGCAGTTTTTTGACACGTCTCGCCAAAGCAAAGATCGTGTCCCCTTATCCCGGGATTCTCATCAATACGGGCGTGGGTAACCCAACCGCGTCTAGGACTCCTAGATTATAGGCAAGCCCCAAACGGCCACGGAGAGGACGCTTGGTATTCACCCTCTTTATAAAGGGCCAAGGCTTTCACTTTTTTCCCTCCCATGTTCAATCGAATCCTTCCCCCACCTCGAGTTCTAACACCCGAAGCCCAGGTCAGGCGTTCCAGATCTTCAACCATGTCCGGATCCAGCCTTCAAGGCCGATGGATGCCCTCCTCCGTTATGGAAGAAGATATCAAGAAGTTGAGGGAGGCCAGATATCTGACCGCCGAAGTTTCGCATCGGCTGCCTGCCCCAGGGCAGGTCGTCCCTACTCCTGAACCCAACGAAGACGTCGTGTTCATCTCCCACTTCCTCCGAGGTCTAGGCCTCGCTCTGGATCTCTTCGTGAGGGGTTTGATGTTTTACTATGGGCTAGACTTCCACAATCTAGCCCCGGACTTATTTCTTCACATCTTGGCATTTATTGTCGTGTATGAGGCCTTCCTCCGCGTTACCCCTCACTTCGGCCTGTGGCTCAAGACTTTCGATGTGAAGCCAAAGACAATCGAGGGACAACACGCAGCGTGCGAAGGAGCGTTAATAAGCAAGATTGCGGGAGCTCCGTGGCCAAAAGGTTCCTTTCTAGAGGTGTCCGGATTATGACAACAGGAGTGGTTTTACATCATAGCTCCCAGAAGCGCCAAGTGGGTGGCTCCCCCCGCTTTCCGCTCGGGCCCCCCCACCACAACTGATGTCATGGATTAGCAGAGGGCTGAGCTGGGGTCCAGCCAAGGACGTGCCCATACTGCAAAGCCGCATTCAAGATCTCTTCGAGGGAGATTTTAATTTGGTCATGGTAATGCAAGTCATGCTGGTTCGTCGAGTCCAACCTTGCAAACGCCGGCCCCTTCGCTTGTGGGAGTTCAACCCAGAAGGACCACGCGCTATTCAAAGCTTCCTCGGCCTGATGCACGAGGAGATGTACAAGTCATTCTTTGGACCTCAACCAGAGTGTCCGGTACTACCGAGGACGTGGGCCTGAGTAGCAACCGCGCCGCCGAACAAGTAAGTAATTCTCTAGCCGGACACACCGTCTTTTTTTACCATGATGTCATTCCTGAGAAATTGCCCTTTGACCAGGACTGGCTAACAAAGGCGAAGATGATTCGGTGTTCGCCCCCCCTCCCTGAGGGTTTGGAAAACCCGGTACCGGAAAAGATGCTCGAGCTCGCACCTTGCCCGGAGCCCTTGAAGGAAGATACGGGGGGGGATAATATGGGCGAAAGCGGGCCCCCATCGCTGCCAGTTCCAACCGAGGGAATGAGCGCCTCCATAAGGGAGGATAGCCAGGGAGAAGATTCTGACCTCCTCTCACTACGGGGGAGGAAGAGGACTGGCTCTGAGGATCCAGAAACCGAGGCCTCCAAACGGGAGAAGAAGTCTCCAACGGAG